TTTCTAGTCTTTACTGTTTAAATGACTTGTTGCTCTTGTGTCCACTCTGCTGCTGTGATCCTGTGGACGTCCTCACTGCGGGACTAATAAAGGATTATCTTATTTTATTCAGAACCCTATATTATTGTCTGGTGATTATTGTTGCACATGAATCTTACAGACTTTATTTTAGTGACTCCTGGTGGTGTGGAGGCTTGGATTCTTCCTCACAGGAGAGAAGGCCGCTGATTCACGCTCCACTGCCGTTTACAGTAGAGACGCTTCGATAATAAAATCTACCATGAACTGGTTTACAATACTACTGAAGCTAATACAATTACAAAGTGAAGCACATTAATTACAGTATCTATAGATATATATTCTCTGCGCAGAGAAGCATCTTTACCCTCATCCCAGCCTGGAGGCACACTGCCCTCACGTTGAGACGACAGGAAAAGAGAGAGAATAGGCTCGTTCGAGTTGAACTGCGCCTCGCCTGGAAAGCAGACGAGAGCAGGCGGACGTAGAAAGGGGCGTTGACAAAAAACTGCGTTCAAGTCGGACCGTTTTCAGCCGCCTGCTTCTTCTTCTTCTTCTTTTGCTTTTTTTGGGCGGTTGGCAAACAGCTTTCGGGTGCATGACCGCCTCCCACTGATCTGCAGTGTGGACTAAGGACTCTAATACGACAACCAAACGAAAATAAATACATATACATATGTATTTGTATTTCTTTTCGTTTGGTTGATGTATACATATACATATATGTGTGTAAATAAATAAAGCTATGTCTATAAAAAATATATACTACAATACTAAAATAGAAAAAATAAATAATAATTAATTTTTTTCTCAAATTCTATTCATTAATCTGGTTGACTCTAAATATTCCAGAAAAAGTTTCCAACATTTGTCACTAAAGCTTTTCTTTATTACATTACATTAATGATGTTTTTCTCTCCAATCTCTCTTTGACCTTTTTTCAAAACGTCTCTCTCTGACTCGTACCTCTGACAGGACAATGAAACATGGTCCACGGTTTCTTCTTCTCCACAAAATGTACACTTTCCATTATTATGCTTTCTAATAACATCGAGGGAACTGTTCAGACCAGTATGTCCGTTCCTTAGTCTCGTCATAATCGTCTCCTCTTTTCTAGTTCATCCACTAGATCCTGCTCCCAACCAATGGTTCCTCTTTAAACAGATATCTTCCTTTACTCCCTTTACATTCATTCTGACATATCTTTTTGATTTGTCCCTTAATCACCACTTTAGCTTCTGACTTACTTATATTTACATTAACGTTATTTCTCCCACTCTTCAAAGCCTTTTTTGCTGCTTTATCCGTCTTCTCATTGCCATCGACTCCAACATGGACCCACACTAAATGAACCGCTATCCGCATTTGATGGATTCTTAAAAATGATTGTAGTATTTCAAACAGTAGATCCTCTCTGCTTCTGGAGTGGCAACATGTCAAACTCGTTAGCACTGCACATGAGTCTGATGCAATCACCACTCTCTCTGGCCTGACGTCCTCTACCCACTGCAACGCAATAACTCTATGGCCATCATCTCACATGCAAACACAGATGCATCATCACTGAGTCTCTTCCCACACTCATCATGGAATTCTGGGATCACTGCTGCTGCTGCTGTTCTACCAGTTTTAGGGTCTTTAGATCCATAAATCTGTATTTAATTGTGGTAACTGATGTATGACTTGAAGATCTTACAGTTTCCCCCACGTTCATCTCTCATCAGTTCAAGGAGGTCAAGATCAATTCCAGGCTGTGGCAGTAACCAAAGAGGAACAGCTGGACCACAGCTGGAGAATAACTGCTATAACCTAATTCACTAGCCTTCTTCTGAACAACCCAACCAGAGCTCTTTGTTGGCCTGTTGTCATGTTCCCAGCATGGCTCAATTGCACTTATTGTTGGATGGTTGTTATGTCCTTGTAAACTGACCCAATATGTCATCATGATCTGGATTCTTCTCAACTCCAACAGCATTTCCCCATTTCTACCTGCAATGCCGGCACAGATGTTTTAAAGACCCCACTACATATTCTTGACGCTTGTATTACATCCAGTTTTCCCAACAAGATTTTAGACGCCGACCTATATTCCACACAGCCGTAGTCTAGAACTGATCTTGGCTAAGTGGAGCGCAGAGCCGTCCTTCAATCAGAGGAGCGGCGGTTTGATCCCCGGCTCCACTAGGAGCATGTTGATGTTGATGTGCAAGACACTTAACCCTAAATTGCTGGTCTTTAAGTTTGGATGTCTTTTCATATATTTAACTATGTTATTATTATAATTGAGGATATAAGATTGGGCATATTTTAGTTCTTGGATGTCATATTTATTTAAACATTTATATAAATAAATATATGTGAAGATAGCGTCATTTCTAAATCATACAACCGTAAATTTAAGAAATTTAAAAACTTGTTAGATCCGGGGGTTCTCTGGCCCGATACGGGGCTACCTACTGACTCAGCTCTCTATTAAAAGATTGGCGAGCTGGTGTTCTGTCGAGGAAACTCGCCTGGCTTCTGCTAACTACCGTTACTCCTGACGTCTACCCTGCTTCCTCTGGTAACGTGCACTCGGCCGAGGGGCCACCCTGGCCGAGCGCTTCTACCTAGTCGCGTCAGTTATGGTAGCTTTCCTCTTTTGGATCCGGGCTCTTGGTAAATTGCCAGGTTAGATTTTAACGGCTAGGATTATAACTAAAACCGTAAGGGACTGTTAAGTGGACCGGTCACTAGGATAACCATTAAGAACTCTTGTTGTTAACATACAATAGCTTTACCCTTTTACTGCCATGAGGAACTTCTACTACCTCAGCAAATGAATGCACTTGAGAAATTTACTTTAAATGCAGATTAGATATTTATTGCAGGATATATTTAGCATGGGCACAGCTACAGCTCTTCATAATACGATACTTGATTCAATCAGGATACAATTTCTTCTCCGGTTATACTCATTAATTGTCGATGCCGAGGCGGCTCGGTGGAGCTGGATTCACAATGTAATAAAAAGTCCTTTGTGGGGTTTTCAGGAGCTGAAGGTCCGGCCGAACCTTTCAATCTTTGTCCAGGAACGGCTGTCTTCTTTCCGTGAACAGAGACGAAGTCCTCCGATGTGGTTGTTTGAGCGAGGTCCAGTGTTTCTCCGTGGAGCACTTGGGTGGCTCCCGCGTTGAATCCCGTCTTGCTATTTGGAGGTCTTTCTTTTTATAATCTTGGAGCTCTCTCTCCTCCCTCCTCCCCAACACTCCCTCCCTCGGCATGTGATTTACATGACATCATTGATTATGTGTGTGTGTGCTGCGAACAACACCCAACTTTCTGTGTGTGGATACTCTCACTTCCTTCATTTCGAGTGTGTTTCAGGTTACACCCGTGGACATGTTCGGACATCACCCCAACATCTGTTATGATCTCAGCCTTTAAGGCCCCCACCCTGCTTACATCAGCTCTTTCCACACACACTTCACTTTATTCAGTTATACATACATTATTATTATCAGTTTACGTTTGTTAAATCACTTCATTATTCTTATGTTATACATACTTGCTTTAAAATGATTACTTATTATATACTTTGTGTCCCTTTATCCTACTTTCATATCGAACTGTATTCCTTCATTTAAGGCAGCTTTCCTGGGATCTCAACCCTCTTTTTTGACAAACTGAACCAACAGTCCAAACATCACAGCTACATAAACAGGCTCCACACGGAGGAAAAGCAGCGCTGCAAGTTTCCATCAGTGACAATTGTGCTTTTCTATTAATACGTGTTGTGATGCTTCACAATCATTAATCGATGGACACATTCAGTGCTCTGACTGAGAACATGTTGACATCAAGTAGGATGTAGGCTCTCTCAATAAATATCTTTATTTACAGATGCTAAATAAATAACCTTATATATCATTATTGTTATTGCACAAAATGAGACTAATAGCCAACAATCTAGCGTTAAGTATTACAATTAGACAGAAAATTAGGATTTACATTTTTTTATACTATATTTATCCTGTTAATTAAGGATACATTAGTCTCTGCATTTGACTCATTCCTATATATGGGGAGCAGTGGGCTGTCTTTGACAGTCACCAGACCACCCTCTTAACCCAGTGACCACGGTCGCCCACCTTTTCCACTAAAGAAAACCTAAGAGCCAATCAGCTCTTTGATCCGAAGACAGCAAGAAGTTTCCCATCATGCCCCGGGGTCACGCAGTCAGTGGAAAGCAACTGCAGCGCCTCGATCTAAAATCTGCGGCCGCCTCGCTCACGTGAGATCATCGTTACGCACGTTTTCATGACGTCAGAGCAGGTCGGACGCAAATCTACCCAGCATGCATTGTGCGGTGATCGATTCTGCGCACACCTGGTTTAAATCGAACGAGCCTAATCTCTTCCCCCCACTCCCGTTCAGTTTGAAAACCCCTCCCCTTTTGTCTATCTTAGTTCCTATTGGCTAACTCCAGCAGTCTCCTCCTGGCGTCAGACTGCTGAAGACCCTCGCACGGGTACAACCTGAAATTGCCTGTCTAGAAGTCTGTCTGTCCCTACGCTACTCTTAAACATACTATATTAAAAATAAGGATTTGCAACTTTTTGGCAAAAACTTCACACGTTTTACAAGCATAGATGGTACACTTCAAGTACTTGCTATCATATTATTCTTCCACCTGTAAGAGGTGCTACTAATTCTACCAAGAAACATTTCTAACTATAAATTCTAAAACACTCCTATAATTATGACTAATTATGATTTCTTAATTATGAATCATTAAACACTTCTATTATAATTCCTTAAAGCACACTTCTAAACATATTTCCTACATGGCCATAGGCTGTCACTGCAGGGGCAGCTTTTCAAAATAAAAGCCTCTTTACAGAGCTTTCCCTTTGTAACGTTTCATTAAAAATAAATAAATATTTCTCCAACACAACAATCAAAGATTGGATCAATACAACATAATTCACATTTCACAGTTCTCTGTTGGAGTAAAACCTTTATTTTGTAGAAATACAGGAAGTTCAGAAGAAGAGCAGGAAAGACGTGATGAAGAGTCTGTCAGATCAGAGAGCTGCTGCTGAGGAACACCAACCAGTCAGTGAGACAGAGATCAGATCTGAGAGGCTGAGAGACAGACACACAGGTTAGTTCATCATAAACGCAGACCTTTATCAACAATGACCAATCTACTTCCTGTCGACATCATGCCCGTGTACGTGAAGAAGGTCCACTGTGAGCTCTTTACCTTCAGTCCAGATGTGTCCACAGGTCGTCCGTCTCTGTGTACAGATAGCAGTCGTGCTCGTCCTGCGGTTGGGTATCCGTCCTCCACCTCCAGGTGAACCACCAGCAGAGCAGACTTCAGGTAGACCAGCACACGCTGAGCAGGACGCCAGTCGATAGCAAAGCTGGAGAGACACAGAGAGGTCAGAGGTGAGTCTGATGGACCGTCAGAAGCTCATAAACATCTTTAAAACAAACAGGAAGTGGTTCACCTGGATCTCAGTCTCTGGATCTCAGACAGCAGCTGGAACTGACCCAGGTAACACTGTATCACCTCCAGCAGGGCGGCACTTAGCTCAGACCGCCGACATGACAGACCGTCCTCCACCAGACCAGCAGGGCCCTCCGTCACCTGTAGAGAGACACTGTCACTTTAAGAAGGGCTAACCAATCAGCAGACAGGAGGATGAGGAAGTTACCTGCAGTGTGAAGCGGTCGTCGTGGCTCCAGGTGACTGACAGCTTCAGTGGCTCCGGCTCATTGGACGACTGGTCTGGAGAGGGGCGTGGCCTGAGCTCCAGACACAGCTCTGATTGGTTGAAGGACAGCAAGTTGATCTGCATGACTTCCTGTACGTCAGAGACGTACACCTGCAGCCTGACAGGTAAACAGGAAGTCAGTGACCAATCACAACGACCGAACGATGCTATGTGACCCGATGACACTCACTCGTCTCTGATCCGCTGCCAGCTGATCAGCTGACCGAGCACCGCCTTTGACTCCGCCCTCAGCTGGGTCAGCTGATGGTCACATGACTGCAGTGCATTGTGGGCCATCTGCAGAGACTCATCCAGCTGTTCATACTGCTGCTTCTGAAGGAGACGAGGAGAGGAGAAGATGAGACAAGGAGAGGAAACAAGGAGAAGAGACAAGGAGAGGAAACAAAGAAATGACGAAAGGAGAGGAGACAAGGAGGGACAAATACAAAATACATAAACGCATATTATCTTTTGCAAAAAGAGAGTCTGTCAGTATGTGTGTCTGTCTGTACGTGTGTCTCTGTGTGGGTGTGTGTCTGTCTGTCCGTGTGTCTCTGTGTGGGTGTGTGTCTGTCTGTACGTGTGTCTCTGTGTCTGTCTGTACGTGTGTCTCTGTGTGGGTGTGTGTCTGTCTGTGCGTGTGTCTCTGTGTGGGTGTGTCTGTCTGT